GAGCAGCATTCTCTCCTGCCTCCTCTCCTCCGCCTCTCTCATCATCCTGTCCGTAGTAGGCGACTCTGCGGTGAATGTGGTGTTGATGGCAGTCTGCGCTTGTCTGCTCCATGGCGTCCCACTCGCAGCAGCAGCAGCAGCGATGGGCGTGGAGCGCGAGCCTGTGCGAGCGTGCGATGGAGAGTGGGAGTGGGAGTGGGAGTGGGAGTGGGCATGCTGATGGCGCGCATCGCCAGCGTCGATGGAGGAGCGGGCAGAGGATCGCACAGAAGCGTCGAGCATCTGCGTCTGCGCGTTGGAGTTTCGCCTTGCCGCCATCGCAGCCGCAGCATCAGCCGCAGCATCAGCGTCGACATGCTCATCATGCCCTACCCAGCTTCCCATCCTCTGCCGCGGATCTTTGGTGGGGCTGGGTGGTCTGGAGCTCTTGCCGCCCATGCTGCTGCCCATCCTGCTCAAAGAAGGAAAAGCCGGGCCAGCACGCTTCTCTCGTTCCCGTTCCCCTTCCCTGCTCTCGTCTGCGAGACTGTGACTGCGACTTTGATTGGGTGACTGCACGCTGTGGGAGTTGGAATGCGCAGGACTGCTCCTGGCAAGGAATCGCGTGGGTGAGACGGAGCGCAGGCGAGGAGAGACGTTGCTCAACAGGCTCCTGCCAAATGTCTGCTTATCTGCCTTATCCGCCTTGCTGGGCGATGCAGGCGCGCACTCCCTCGTCGCCGTCGCCGTCGCCATGCCGCTGCTTGGGGAGTGGAGAGTGTTGGAGAAGGAGTCGCCTCTTCCTCTGCCCATGATGCGCGATGTGTTTGGTGTGGCAGCTGGAGAGTATGGGCGAGTGCGAGTGCGAGTGCGAGTGGAATGCGTGTCTGCGCGACCTGTAAAGGAGTCGAGCGTAGCCGAGGCTGAGGAGAGGTGCGTTTTGAAGGGAGAGTGTGGGCGCGACATGCCTGTGTTGCACGCATCAAGCGGAGTGGAGAGTGGAGAGGCAGGCAGCGCAATGGGAGTGATCAGTGTAATGAGCGACAGTCGATGATGGGACGGAGTGATGGCGGCAGGGCAGGGCAGGGTGCGTGGTGGAGCAGAAGGACAGCATTCGCATTGGCTACAGTGTGAGTGTGACTCAACAGTCAGCGCGCGCAAATGTCTCGCATCTCAGCGCGGCTCGTCGACAAGCTGCGTTTCATGTCTCGGGTCAACATGCAGGCAGTCACAACAGTGTGAGTGTGAGTCACGAGTCATCCTTTATTCGTGATTGCTCTGCTCCATTTCAATCAATCACAAATCCTGCCATGCTTCATGTATATACACACACAAATCATCACAACATTCACACTCAGACTCGTCACCCATCATTCCACCCCACTTCAATCACTCAATCCTTGCTCAAGCGATCAGCCTCACGCTCTCACGCTGGCTGCACGCTATACCGCACCGCACCGCACCGCACCGCACCGCACCGCGACACCATCCATCTTTATGCGATGAGCAATCACTCCCGCGTCGCTCCCCAGTCCACCCAGCCACTCACGCACTTGTCAATCACAATCACCAATTCTTGAATGCGATCCCA